GTGCACGGAGCGCCCGCGGCACTGCCCCCGCCTCCCTGTGGCTTTTTGTCCAGGGTAGGCTCTGCCCTGCGTGGGACCCTGGCCCGGGTGATGCCTTGCCCCGTGGGCGGGCGGTGGATGGCACCCGGGGGCTGAGCCCTTCTCCAACTCCATGCAGAGGCACCGTGGGTGAAGGTCGATGCCAGCCCCCAGCGTTTCGGCAGGGGCCAGGAGCTGTGGCTGAACTGCACGGCTGGGGGCCATCCCCCACCCCACGCCACCTGGAAGCGCCAGGGCTGGGTGCTGGAGCAGGACGAGAGGTATCGTGGGGACCTGGGTGCCTTTGTCCTCCCTGTCCTGCTGGGGATGGGGCTCTCCTTGCAGGGAGTCACGGGCTGAGGGAGAGGGGCTTGGGGTTGCCCGTAGCTCTGGAAAGAGGAAGACATTGCAATATCCCCAACCCGTGTGCCCGAGATGGTTGGCATGCTGCTAGCCCTAGTTTCATGTATCTATTTTTGAGCCATTCTGCCTTATCCAGGTCGTCGTCCCCACCGCGGGGGACTCAAGGTGCTTTGCACACCTCGTGTGTGCTCCAGTCTCAAAATACTCCTTGTGCTTCCCCATAATTTCTTCTGCTTTTTGAGTCCCACCTCCCTGCCCATGACAGGCTGTGAGGACTTTGGGGAAGATTTGTTTTTCTTTTTTTACTTTGGAGATGGAAAAGCCCAATTCTCAATGCTTTTCCCTGGTTCAAAGCAACATCCTTCGCTGCAGGAGCTGATGGAGCTGGCTTTAAGTGCTAACCCACATCTGTCAAATGCCCAGCACTTACCGTGTGTGCGGGATGACCTTAATCCCGCTCACTTATTTCAACACATTTTTCATCAGCACTGTTTTTAAAGTCTTTGTTTCTCCCTCTCGTTTGCCGCAGGGTTTTCATGGATGCTCAGGGTACCCTGCACATCAGGGCTGCCATCCCAGAGGATGCGGGGAATTACAGCTGCTATGCCGGCAGCACGCTGGGCTGGGATGAGCAAACCATCGCCCTGGAGTTCACCGGTACTCGCTCCCCGCTGGCCGGCAGCATCCCGGGAAGGGCCTGGGCTCAGAGCTGCCGCAGGAGGGATTTATTATCCCTCCTTTTGCCGTTCCTTGGCTGCCAGCTGGGACCTTGCGGCATGCGAGCTATGGGATGGGGCTGTCTGTGATGGAGGGTGTTGGGGGGCAGCTCCTGGGGCTCCGGGGTCCCCTTGGGGTGAACATCTCGGGAGCACACCCAGCGCCCCAGGGAGTCACCGAAGCCGTCTGTCTCCCCACGGCGCAGAGCCTCCTGCCATCCTGGCGGTGACGCCCAACCTGAAGACGCTGGTGGGAGAAGATGTGACCCTGGAGTGCTGGGTTTTGGGGGTGCCCCCACCCCACGTCACATGGTACAAAGGTAAGACTGGGACAGACCTGGGGAGCAAAGCCTCTTTGTGTGTTGGGGGCCCTCCGCTGCCCTGCAGGGACATCACATGTGGGGTCCCCCGGACCGATGGCAGGAGGGACCCCCGGAGGCACTTGGGGTGCTGATGGGGGGCGTCTCGGGGCAGGCGAGCAGGTGGTGGTGACATTCCCAGCCGGCACCCAGCGTGCCGTCCTGCGGCTGCAGGCGGGGCGGGAGGAGGGTACATCTGCGAGGCGCTCGGTGAGGCCGGCGTCGCCTTCAACAGCACCGAGCTGGCCGTGGGCTGTAAGTCTCTTCCTCTCCTTTTGGGTCCCACCGAGCGCTCGAGCCTCTCTCGGCTGCTCTCCCTCCCGGCTCAGCTCCCACTTGCTGCTTCCCAAGGTTCCTCTTGCCCCCAGCTCCCGGGTTTCCCAGCGCGGGGGTGTCAGTGCTGGGTACGAGCCTGGCAGCACTTCCAAGGGTCAGGAGGTTGGAAGAGGCTCAGCAAGTGACAGAACACCAGTGCAGATGCTATTGCGTGGGGACACGACAGCTTGGGACTAAATAGGGGATGCAAAGTGCGATCCGTGGGATTAGGCAGAGGTGGGGGCTGGCTTCTGTGTGTCGGAAAATCCGGGTACCCCAACCAGTGCTTCCCACCAGCGGCAGAAGGGATGGAGGAGCCTGGGGAGGAGCAGACGAGGAGGTTCTGAGCTGGGGGCTGGAAGGCTTGAAGCAGTTAAGGGTGGAAAAATGCAAAAGGTTTTGCTGAGCCAGAGGGGTGCTGAGTGTACTGGAAAGGATGGAAACTGCAAGGGCTGTAACAACTTTGGCAAACCACCAAATGCTTTAAGTCAGTCTCGTAACTTCTGAGGTCTCCTGGCTCCCATCTCTTCTCCAGGCTCAGCCGTGCACGGAGCCTGCAATGGGGAAGCCGGGATGTGGGACCTGCCTGAGCCCCTTCTCCGTCGCTCTCTCCTCCAGCTGCCCCTCGCTTTCGCGAGCCCCCGGGGGACGTGGCGATCGAGGTCGGGGAGAGCGTGCTGGGCCGTGTCGAGGGCTCCCCCCCGCCGCGGGTCACCTGGACCCGGCAGGACGGGAAGCCCGTGATGGGCTGGCATGGGCTGCACGGTGTTTCCAACCGGCTGGAGGCTGCCGAGCTCCACATCGATCGTAAGAGAGCCGAGTGTGCAAGCGTGTGTTGGCACGGCAGTGAGCGCACACGGGCATCCCGCCTGGGTGCTTGCTTACACTGTGTCACCCTTGGGTGCTCTTCCCCCCCACTCAGTGTGTCCCAGGGTGGCGTTAGCCCCCGTGCCTGCTCTTTTTGCAGTAGTAAAGCACTGACATAGTGGGTTTATTCGCACTTTTTACTTGTGCAAGCCTAGCTGTGCTGTAACAGCCTGCAAGCCTCCAGCGCTGCAGGGTCTCTCCCCCGTTGGAGGCGGCGGTGGGGCAGGGGAGGAAAGGTGCTGTCACCCCATCCTGGAGCTTGCTCGGGGCTCTCCAACCCCACTGGGCTCAGGCTTCTCCTCGCCGTGCTCCAGGTGCCTCGCTGGATGACCAAGCCGTCTACATCTGCGAAGCCCACAACGAGTTTGGGAAAATCCAAGCGGAGGTCAAGCTTGCAGTCACCGGACACGGTTTGCTTTTACGTGTTTTTGTTGGTGTATTGATCCCGGCCGCTGCCAGCACCGGCTGTGCCGCGGCAAGCCCCATCCAGCCATGTCTGCTCCCGAGCTGGCTGCAGTGAACACTCAGCAACCCCCACCCCGGGTCAGGGTTTGGATGATGCCCTTCCACCCCTTTGGCTTTAATGCACTGACACGTGCTTGAACCCAAACTGCAGACTAATATCCCCAAATTCTTGGGGGAGCTGAATGTCAGAGCCAGCTTGTGCCAAGCCAAGGTCTGAACCTTGGAAGAAAGGTAATCCAGATCTGTTCTCCTGAGCATTCCTGGCCAGTCTATCTCCAGTTAATATTGTTTCCCTTTCCCCTCTTTCAAGCAGCCCCAGAAATAGCTCTTGCATCCCCTGTGGTCCGTGCGCTCCCAGGCCAGCCCGTGTCGCTGCCCTGTGTGATCCTGGCCGGGAGGCCGTT